TTTCTTGCATGTCCCAGACGACTCTAATGCATGGGCAAAAGTGCTGGGGCACAGAAACAGGAGGCTGCAGGACGTGACAGCACCTACAGAAAAGTGGAAGCAGAAGGGGACAGTTGCTGGAGGTGTCTGAGTGAGTTACAAGAGGGCAGCAGCATCAGAAAAATGGAGAGCTCAAAGCACCACTAGGGGGAGCAGTAGCCCATGCCGAAGATGGATCTGGGACTTGTTTCTGGAAACCGTTAACAGGCTAATTTTGAATTTTGGGACTACAGTCCCACCCTGTTCCTTTCTATCCAAGCATTTGTCCTCAGAGTATCAGAGTGACTTGCAGTTCACTGTCCTGGTTGGTTATGTCTCCAGAACTTCTCGATAGACCAGAACCCACCGTGTCCAGTGACCTGCTTATCCTAATGGTCTTTTATTAAAACACTTCTCTGAACTTTATTTGGCAAAACAAAACAAAACCCAGGAATATTCAGATGCCTGGGTCCTAAATGCCATGAGAGCTAGGAAGAACTAAGAGGCCATTTCAGATATTGCTGTCTGACATCTCCTGCACCATAGGCTCCCTTTCCTGAAGCCAACCGGAGGCCCTGAGCCATCCAGCCCCTAAGGGATGCATTTTGCTAAACCCACTCCCTGGTGGGACAGAAATGAAAGCTTTTGCTGGAAGCCTGTGTTGCCCCTGAATAGTCAGCTGTCTTAACTAGATGAATCTTTCGGATGTCTCTCTGGACACCATCTCTCCATTAGGGTTAGCCACAAGAGGAAGGACGGAAGGAGAGAAAGAAATACAGAAACCGCTAATGTTCAGCTGTGTCTGGTGGGAGGAATGACACAATGCAGATATGCATAAGGCATCATTTCTTCCTAGATTATATCCTTGCTAGGTCATTTACTTAGTGGAGAAGTTTATCTTTAAAAATTATGAGCCATATCCTGAGCTGACTTCATTGAAGCTCCTCTGACTTACACCAGCTGAGGATCTGGCCCTATATTTATGTTTCAGGAATTCTGTATACGTGTGTATTACACACATGGACAAGCACACACTGGCCACATATCTATAGACCAAAAACTAAAAGATGTTGTACCAAAGGAATTAGAGTTGGAAAATACCTGCTATGTCCCACTCAGTTTACCACCCCTTTGAGAATGGAGGACTGTCCCCTGATGGACATTTTGATGGCTTCAGCTCTAAACATCCCAAAGGTGCTTCCACCACTTCCCATGTGCAAATACTCCACAGCCAAAACCATCTCACTGTCAAGATTTCCCTGATGTTCACGCTGCCTTTCTTATATCCATCCCCTTGCTCCTAGTGATAATTTCCATGTTCAGCCCTAAATAGCACTTCTTTGACACTTCTGAAAACCTGCCGCTTTCCAATATTTGCAGACTGTCATATCCACTCCCTTCGCCGTTGCTTAGCCAAGCTAAACATAGTTAGGCCTTTTAATCTTCATAAATCAATAGCCCTGCATGATTTCTGCTGCTCTTCTCTGAAGTCTTTTGGGTTTGTCAATACCATTCTGGTAATGTGGTGCTGTGGCATGGAGCCTGCCTGCACAAGGAAGTAATATCTGAGGTATGGTTGTAGTAGAGACTTTTAGAGCAGAGACCTATCTCCCTGCTCCTTTATGTGATTGCTCTGTACATTCAGCCTCACAGTGCACTGGCCTTTGTGTTGCCGTATCACACAAGCTCTGTGGTGAACTTCCCCGTCACACGATTCAAAGAGGACAGTGTTTACCCCAAGAAATTAGGATGTGACCTGAGGGGAAATGATACAAGTGCACATTACAGGGGTTTGATTGTGTATGGGACAGAACTGGCTCCACGTGAGATGTGTGATGTTAATGGAATATGTGCTTTATAATCAAAGACACTCTTTCAAACTCTCTCTCTCTCTCTGTGTTTGAATTTAATGCTTGTGAAAATGAGGGACAGAAACCATTAACTAGCGGCAGGCCCAGTGTGGGCAGGTCCAATGTGGCAGGCACAGTGCACTTCAATCCTGATCTTCAGGAACACCTGGTATTACAGTCCTGGGCCCTGACCTGCCGCTACTCAAGTACCTCAGTCCCAACCTGCAGCACATCCTGACCTTCCAGCATTGCATTCTCCTCACATAGTCCTGCTGGTGCTCCGGACCTGTGCCGTACCCTGCTAATCCAGTCCCGTGGCTCTGTCAAAGCCCTGGGCCTCCTGTCCCCCAGCTCTGCGGATGCAATTCAATCCTGAAATGCAGCAACACCTGCTATTCCAGTCCAAAACCTCCTAACACACATAGTTTGTATCTCCTTCCCTCTCCACTGTGTATCTCAGACACCCTGGGTCTGTCTCTTCTCTCTCCTCTCTTCTACATATGGCCTCTCTCCCCACCCCCCAAATCCACCTGGCCCCATTTGAATTTTTAAGCTATTTAACACCCTCCAATATGTGCATAACAAGGTTTTTCACCTGCCCTCTGCTGCCATCCCTCTGCTATTATGACACCAGGTGCTGAAGTGGTAACATGGTGTTTCAGAAGCCTAACACTGGCTTCCATGTGTCAGAACTCTAATTACATGGTAACTAGCGACCTTGTAAGTACAGGGTAATCTATTATATAGCACCAGGGTAAATTATCTGGGTCTTTCTGTCTTCTTCACTACAGCCTTCTCCAAAGATTGAAACACGGCCAGTTAAATGGTAATTAATCTCTGAACCTCTTAGCACCTTCCCATTTCGGTGTTCAGTAACCGGGGAGAGCATGTTATCTCTGCGCAGTGTCAGGGGACTGGCCATGTTGCTATCATTACAGAGCAAGGGTCAACACTTTTTAAATGCATAAAGTTGCTGTGTCAAGACTCTGCAATGCTGTCAGTGAAGCATGAGGTGGCTGCAGCACAACGCAACACACTGTCGCCATGTCAGCACCTTGGGGAACAGTTTATGACTTGGTTTCCAGAGCCGCTGAGCGCCTGCAGCTCCCGTTGGCTGGATCTGAGGCTGCTCAGCACCTCTGAAAAGCGGCCCATCCATGTCCCTGCACTGAGACTCATCCCAACAAACAACTCTGCTGTGGGACAGGGGTGGGAGAGGGCGGTAGCCCTGTTCAGGGTGAAGAGGAAAGGTTTGCTCTGTGCAGTGCAGTCTGACTGGACATGTCTGTGTGCATACCCGCAGGGAAGGGGAGTTCCTCTGTTTTGAACTGTGCGGCCTGCCCCTTTCTGTGTGGGGTGCAGTGTAAATGTCTGAGAGGGACAAATCTGGCTTTGCCCAGTGATACCTGGAAGAAGGAAGGGGTGTGCGGGGGACAAAGCGAGGGGTCACCCTTCCTGATGTGGGAGAAAGGGGTCCAAGATTTCACACAGCCCCATTTGAGAGGTGGTGAGGACACCAGTTGTAGAGCTCTCTTAGCCTTCGAGCGAGGGGGAGCGTTGCCAGTAACCACCACCTATATCCTCGCGCTTTGAGTCACCCTCTGAACTCATCAAAACCAACAAGAGAGAGACCTGGGCGTTCACTTTGGAAAACCTGAGGTAAAATGGACCAGCTTTTGCCTTCTGTGTTGAAACTTTTTGCCTCTGCCCACACGCGCACACACTATGGGTCAGTCTGAAAGCTTCTGCTCCAGTCACCAGAGCTAATGCTTCCCCTCTCAGAGCCAGGTACATTGTACCCCAGCTATGCCCCACAGAACTGCCTGCACTACAGTGCTCACCCCACCCGAAGGAACCATCCCGCCTACAGAACCCCCACATGCCGCCCCCACCAGTTGATACACAAATACCTCCAATCCACTGATGCCAGCGGGTGCTCTGCATGTGGGTCAGGGATTGGTGGATGATGCATATAAAGCCCATGGGATTTTTAAGGTGACTAAGGCTATTTGCATGCATTTTAGACCCACTTAGGTTGCTCCCTCTGGAGCACTTACAGTTTAAATAGTAATGGCAGCAATTATTTTCAGATCCTAGACTAATAAAATCTTCTCATTTGTTGGAAGGATTCAGCCGGGTATAATAGAGCTCTAATGACTGTTTTAAAAAGTTCCCAGGCCCGGTTTTCAAACGCACCAAAACAGAACGCTCAAATCCCATACGCTGATGCTCACCTCAGCCCGTAGACCCTCGACACACAGAATCTTAGAAATGCAGGGCTGGAAGGGACCTTAAGAGGTCATCTAGTCCAGCCCCTTGCACTCAGGCAGTATTACATAGCTAGACCACCCCGACTCACGTTTGTCTAACCTCTTCTTAACGATGCCTCTTTTGGGTGAATAAGTGTCAATTTAAATAACTGAATGGGGGACTTAGTTCACATAGTGGCTTTGCACACTGAGCCCTCTGAGCAAATTGCTCTAGTAGTCTATACCAGTGGTTCTCAGCCAGGGGGTACATCAGCTCATCTAGATATTTGCCTAGTTTTACAATAGGCTACATAAAAAGCCCTAGCAAAGTCAGCACAAACTAAAATTCCATACGACTTGTTTATACTGCTCTATATACTATTCACTGAAATATAAGTACCATATTTATATTCTAATTGATTTATTTCACAATTATATGGTAAAAATGAGAAAGTCAGCAATTTTGTAAGCAAGTAGTTTTAAAGTGGGGTGAAACTTGGTGGTACGCAAGACAAATCAAATTCTTGAAAGTGGGTACAGAAGTCTGGAAAGGTTGAGAGCCACTGGTCTATACTGTACTGTAATGAACTGGCAAGTGTGTATGTGCGCACGTACACATGTGCACCATTGCTCTCTACTGGATGAAATGAGCACTACAGTGTGTCATAGGCCCTTTGCTATTACAAGCTTCAGGGGAATCTCCTTTAGCCAAAGTATAACCTTAGCTCTGCCCCCCCCCCCACCTCTGCAATGTGATACCATTTTCAGTTACATGATCACACACTGTTTTTCCACAGGACCCTTGCTTCATGCAATGTACATGCTGGAGAATGAATGAGGCCAGGCTGTGCAGTGATTTATTCTGGGGACCTGAACATCTCACCTCATTCACTGCAGATATTGTATGGTGTGTCATGAATGAGGGTGGTATCCACAGCATCCTTTCCTCTTTCACTGCAGATGTTGTATGGTGTGTAGTGAATAACGTAGAGGCCCCCTGGTAGAGAAGAGATAGCCTTGTGATTACGGCCATGGCTTGGGACTCCCAAGATTTGGGTTCTGGTCTTGCTTGTGCCACAGATTTGCTGTGTGACCACAAGTAATTCACTTGATCTCTCTGTAACCTGGGTCCTCATCTGTAAAATGGGGAAATAAAACTTCCCAGCTTCACAAGAGTGCTGTGCAGATAGAGATTAGTGAGGTTCTCAGACACTGCAGTGATGAATGACATAGAAAAAGACAATAAAGAAAGAAAAAAATCTCCGTGTGGAAGCTGGATGGTGTGCAGCAAATGAGACATGGGGCCACACAATGAACACTAAGAAATAAAGAACAATTGCCCATGTTTACTGAGCACTGTCCATCCTGTGGCTCTTGCAGGAATAATAGCTCACGATCATATAATTAAAGACTGTAGGGTGATGCATACTTCCGAGTGTAGAAGTTAAGGATGCACAGGCAGTCTTGACCTTTCCAGTACCTGACTTTTGCATGCTTCACTTTGCAACCTTTATGTTCTTTTAATGCAGTATTTTTGTATGGGTTGTGTGAGATTCTGAGTTAAACCTCTTGCTTCTGAGCTAGGTGCCTCCTGTTTAATAAAACATTAACTAATTAAGAAAAAAGATCCTGTTTGGGTGGCAGCACGCAGAAAGGAAAGAGAGAGCTGTGTGTTCAGGAAGACACCTGTTACATATGCATGTATGTCTCTCTCACCTCTTGATAGGTTCTAATGCCTGGCTAATGGCATGAGCTCACCAGGCAAGGCCACATCCTACAGCACTGCAGCTAGACTAATGTCCTTGCCCGGTAATGGCAGCATAGCCGCTGTCTTCATGAGTTGCTGGGGGTTGCTCAACTCCCGCTCTGCCCCTGGCCCTGACCCCACTCCACCCCTTTCCCCAAGCCCCCACCCCTGCCCCTAGTCTGCCCTGTCCCCAGAGGGCTCCGTGCCCTCGCTCCTCCCCTTTCCCCCCCCAGCGCCTCCTGCATGCTGCTGAACAGCGGATCCGTGGTGGGTGGGAGGCACTGAGCGGGAGGGAGAGGAGCTGATCGGCAGGACCACTGGCAGGCAGGAGGCGTGGAGAGAAGGCGGCGGAGCTGATTGGGGGGCTGCCGGTGGGTGATGAGCACCCACTATTTTTCACGGAGTCGGCGCCTACGACTGGTAGTGTTGCACAAGCCAGGTAAGGAAAGGGCTAAGGAATCACAGCATGGTCCTTGCACTGGTGGATACTTTCCAGCTCCTGCTGTTTTTTCCAACCTGAGAATTTTCAGAGCTCACCACACCTGGAATGATTCGGAGACCCAAGCAGGGTACATTGTGTATCTCTGCCAACAACGTTTCCCTGCGCAGTTCTCGACCAAAGATTCTATTTATCTCAGTAACTTATATGGCCCCATCACCACAGTCTCTGAGCAGCTGTGATGGGGTGTCGACCCCCCACACAAGCCCTCAGGGGGTTCATGATGGCCAGGATGCTGCATCTGGGGTGGAACCAAGGCTTGATAGGCCTGATGGCAGATGAAGCCCACCTGGGATAGGAGTGTAAAGCCAGGAAGTGCAAGTAGGAGGTGGCTGAAGGGGTGAGGTCTGCAGTTACTTCCTAAAGAGAAAGGGAGTTGGTCAGGGACAAGGAGGAAATCCAGGAGAAGAGAAAGCTCTGAGGGTCCTGTCCTGGATTAGGGAGTCTGGCAAGAGGCTCAGAGGGGTGAAGTAGCCACAGAGAGTGGCGGAATCTCTGGTGGAAACCCAGAGATAGGCAAGGACATAGAGAAATGGGGCAGGAAAGAGCCCAGGGAAACAACAGTCTCGGACTGAGCAGACCTAGGTTGCTAATTGTAGGATCCCGGGGCTGGAAGCTGAAGTAGTGGGCGGGACTGGGTTCCCCTACCAGCCACTGGCAAAGCTGCACAGGACCTGGAGTTGAAACAGAAGACTGTCTGAAATGGCACAAGGATATTGTATGGTGGGACTTTCCTACCCTAGAAGGGGAGGACTATATAGTGACCAGGCTGGAGGGCTGAGTCATGAAGAAGGAGTGCCCTGAGTCATGAAGAGAGTGAGGGGGTCATACCATGAATAACCCACAGAAGAGGGTGCTAGATGGTGTAGGGGAGGTGCTAATTCCCAGACCCTGTGGTGAGTGGGAAACCCTTCACAATGCCTCACAATCTTCTTAAATGTATTTATCGCCTGTGAGGTAGGGCGTTCTATTATGTCCATTTTACAGATGGGAAGCTGAGGCACAGAGACTAAATAACTTGCCTGAGGTCACACAGGAATTCAGTGGCAGAGCACTGGTGCACCCTCCCTCTCGATACAAGCTATTTGGGTCTCCCCTAAAGCATGGTCAGTGCAGAGCTCTCAAGTCCGGGACTCACTTCCCTCAGTCAGCCCGAGGGAGCTGGAGTCTACTGACCTCCATGGCAGGCTGCAAGGCCCTGCTGGAAGGGATACCAGGGGATATTTCTAAGTAAATTCCACCCCCCTCCCCCACACAACACCCAGAATAACTTGTTCTTTGTATTTGCCAATATATTAAAATTATCAAATGGTTGTATTACTAAATGGTATAAGATATGCTGTTAATTTGCATATTAATATGCTGTTATTAATATTAATAATAATATGCATATTAATATGCTGTTAATTTGTTATCTACACTGGAAAACAAATAAAACCAATAAAAGGAAGCAACAAATTTCCAGGTGGTTAGTACAATTATGAGCAAAGAGCCATTTGCAATGACAGTGCAGCCAAAGGAAGAGAGTGTGTGGGTGTTTGGGACGAAACGTTAACACGGGACATGCAAGAGCTCAGGGAACTTTGCATCCGAGTATGGTAGTGTTCTCTTGTCCAAATGTATCCACTCTCAGTGGGGTGCTGCATTTATGTGGAGCCTGATATTGCAAACAGTACCAGTATAGCCCTTTCTAGAGTGATGAGTCCCATTAACTTCCATGGGGATTGTTCCTGGCAGTCCAGGGGTAAGTGTTTGCAGGATCAGGCTCACAGTTTGCAGAGACTTTGGATGAAAGGAGCTATGAAGAAGTTACATGTTATTATGTTTTGCTGGAGTTGACCTCTGCAGTATTTATTCAGTCACAAAGACGTGAATGAAAGACAAAAAACAGTGTGAATGCACAGGGGACAATCCTGTTAAAAAGACTCCCTTCAAGCAGAGGCGGATTATGGTTTTGTGGGGCCCTGGGCCAGAGCAAGTGGGGGCCCCCCAAACCTCCTGGGCACTCCTACCAGGAAAATGGGGTCGGGGCACAGGGGCCCGCCCGGCAGGAGCACCTCTGGTCAGGAACCCCACGTACACCTGGAAACTAGCCAGGTTCTTGAAATAAAGGCTTTCAAACCCCAATCTCTAGCCTGGCTGCAGGTCACATGGCCATGCTGGCTGGCACAGGGAACTGGCTCTGCAAACTGCCTGGTCTGGTGGGCTGGGCTGGACCCTGGGAGAGGTGGGCTCTGTGTGACCAGCCGCCATCCCACAGGATACGCTGGGGACACGGCATGGCCCTGCAGGAGCACTGGCCTCTCCTCCCTTGCCTGGCACCCAGACTGGATCACTTTAGACTAGATTCAGCCATGAGGGCTCTTGTTTCTTACAGCATCTTGGCTTAGTCCTTAGCCCCTCCCAGTCAGATTGATAACTCTGGTAAGTGGCCCCACCTGTGCCCAGAATCTCACAGCCCTGTGGAGCCTGTGATGGTCATTCCAGTTGGCTGTAGCTTCTCTGAGCTGTCCCTGTAATCCTGTCCTGGCTGTGGGGGCTGGCAGGCCTCCTTCGAGCTTGCTTTTCTCTTGCTGCCTTGGGCTCCCTGCAGCTGCAGGCTTCTGGCTCAGCCCTCCATCTGGGCCTGATTTAGCTGCATTTGTCATGTAGCTGCACTAACTTTCCCCAGCGGGGATGGAGACCTGAGCCAGGCAAAGGTGGGGCTGGACCCACAGCCAACTGAAAGGACCCATCAGCTTGGGACATGCTGCTTGTGCCCTTCTCTGTGCTTTGACCCCGTTCCCTGGCAGGAGTAGGCAGGCGGGCAGAGCGGGGCAAGCCCCCAGGCCCTGACCCTGCTCCCCAGAAGGAGCACTGGGTGGGTAGAGCAGGTCAGGGTGCGGGGACCCTATTCTTCCAGGGCCCCACAATTGCCCGGTGCCCCTGGGCACAGGCCCCGTTGGCCCAGTGGCTAATCCGCCACTGCTCAGGGCAGAGGATACAAATGACATCAGCTCTTACACTAATTCCATCCATGTCCTGCAGTGCCATTCTGATTACTGCACTGAAATGCAAGAAAGCAGCAAAATCATATTTGGGATGAAGCCCGTTTAACTGCTGCAATGGCCCTTATATCGTCTATCGACGCTGGATCTAAACTCACGCTATTGTGCGATTCTGGTGACAGACATTAACTGCTCGAGCCCTGCTCCCTGACAGCAATGCCAGGGGCCTTCCAAGAGACAGCCAGACACTTAACGCAGCACATGCCTTATTGTAATTTGTTTCAGCTACACTGAGAGGCTGTTTATCTGTATGAAGTTGTTGTGGGGGCAGGTTGCGTTCTCCTCCTACACAAGGGGTGGGGTCCCCTCCACTGCCACGTGCACTGCGGCAGACCAGTCCCAAAGCCAATCCCGTAAGTCATCACATGCTCGATCCAGACGACTCCCCAGCCTTCAAACTGCCCCCTGGAGTAGAAATCCACTCACTGTTTTAGCTGCTGGTCGTGCTAGTCTCTGCCGCTGCCACGCTGCGCTGCATTGGCCCTTCGGATGCGGCCCTTCCTGACAGTGAATGGGTGAAAACAAGGGAAGGAGAAAAACAAAAGAGAAGGGGAGGGGGAGGGAGTATGTGGGGGGGATGAAGCAGGGGGACAAGAAGGGAGAGGGTATGTCTTTAACTGAACTGTATGTCGATCACTGGCTGCAACATTCTAACAGCTTTACAACACTCATCGTGAGCATGGGGTCAGACAGATCCCCACTATTGTGCTGAGGCGTGGTGGACCCCTGCTCTGCCCCTGGGGTCATCATTTAAACAAGCGCAAAGGACTAAACAAAGGGATGGGCACCTGTGAATTAGACCCCTGACCTACATGGTAAAAGCCACCGAATAACACCGAGACCCTGTACAAAGAGTCTCCTTTCTTTCTTGCAGCACAGGAGGAACTGCAAAAGGCTGAAATTGTCCCCTGTGTCCAACTCCTAGATATCTCCAGTTCCTTTGCTACTAAATATCCTCCTTAGAATGACGAACTTGGATTTGCAAAAAGAAAAGGAGGACTTGTGGCACCTTAGAGACTAACCAATTTATTTGAGCATGAGCTTTCGTGAGCTACAGCTGCATGCATCCGATGAAGCTGCATGCATCCGATGAAGTGAGCTGTAGCTCACGAAAGCTCATGCTCAAATAAATTGGTTAGTCTCTAAGGTGCCACAAGTACTTCTTTTCTTTTTGCGAATACAGACTAACACGGCTGTTACTCTGAAACCTGTACTTGGATTTATATCACTGCAGGTGGGACAGGGCCCAGACCCAGGCCTTTACTCAGCCAAAACTTCCAGGGAACATTTGGCCTGAATCAAGACTGAGGACCTGATCTTGTAAGGTGCTGAGTGCTTGTCACTTTCACTGAAGCAAACAGGAATTCAAGCTGCTCAGACCCTGACAGGGAGTGTTCAAAGCCTCTCAGAATTAAGGTCCTAAAGTTTCACAGGATAAAGCACCCACTATATAATGGATGGTTATGTGCCAGCACTCCTACTGGAGCGGTTATTCTTGTATCTAATTTTGCAGTGTAATACAGCAGTAACACAGATGCTATGCTATTCTATGCTACACATGCCCCTCAGCATTAGGGACCACTGAGAGCAGCAATATAAATGTGGACTCATGAGAGCAACTTGTTTCACTTTTATTTAGTTTACAGGTATCCTAGGCCAGAGGAGCAGCATGTCAGACAGAAAAGTGATTCACAGTGATTCAGTAATCTGCCTTTCTGTGACAACTTCCAACTCTATAGTGCTTTTCACAAACGGCAATTAAACCGCACAATACCCCCGTGAGGCAGGGAGGAATTATACCATTTCAGACAGGGAAGCTGAGTTACAGGCCTGATTTGCAGTAGTGCAAAGTTATTAAGCAGCTTGTGGTGATACCCTGAGTTTCATTTACAGTACTTCCTCCCCCCAGTTATTTCAGTCACATTTTGGAAATACAGGAACCTATGCTGCAAGATTATGACTGGCCTCGAATTCTACCCACACTGGTGGGAGTGACAGATGCTCCACCTCTCAGAGGACTGGGCCCAAAGAAGGGAAGAAGACAAAAAATATTATAAAAGAATGGAGGAGAAAACACTGAAATTAGACTTCGGCTGCATCAAAGCAGAAGGGGAGTCAGGGGAGACAGGGGAGATTGTCACTGGGCAAATAATGTTGAATGGCCGTGGCAGATACTGTGAAATCAGTGAGTAAGTCCTCTCCAGTGAACTGGACTTCAAAGGCAAAAATTAAAGGGACATCCCTGAGCTGTGCATGGAGTTGGAGGGCACTGCTCCGCGCACATGTGACCATTTTCATCGGCGGTGCTTAAGAACACAACATGGACCGCTGCCAAATTAAAGCGAAGAAGTAAGGGGGGTTTGGGAGGCCTGGCCACCTAGTTACACTCACGTGCACCTTTTCACCATAGCTAGTGGTGCAAATTTTAGCTGCTACCTGTAGCTGCAGGATCATCCCGTTCAGGCAATTGCTGTCTGAATGGCTGAAAAGCCCCTAAATTGCTTTGCTCTATTCCGAACAAAGCAAATGCCTGAGGAATGAGAACTGGGTGGGAAAGAGGTTGAGAAAATGATTTCACTTATGTTTAAATTTCCTGTTCATTAAAATGTTACAGAGCTAGAAAAGTCCACTGCACAAACTCTCCCAGCCAGCTGTGTCACAGGACGGGCATCAAAAAAGATACAGAGCAAATGAAGTCATCAACAATGGAAAAACACACCAATACAGCACAATGCAAATCCCACCTCAAACATGGGGCTGCAAGAGACATTTTCCCTGTGTCTGATCCCTTACCACGTGCTTATTCAATCACAAATAACTTAGGGAGAGAGAAACCCAAATTCAATTTATATCTCAGTCCAAGCAAATATGAAGAAGCTGTTGAAGCTGACTATAAAAGCCAATGATCTCATAAGCTATCCTCATATGTATTGGAAAAACTAGGAGTGGAGTTACTACCCTGCTGCTGTGAGATACTGGCAAAGTATTTCAGAACTATAGGTCCTGTATGTTGTCACTCACTAATTACTGCAGAAAGGAAAGGGGGTTTGGAGTAAGAAAATATAAACATTTCTTCCCTGTGAATTCCTTTGACAATCTCATGATGTGATGCCCACATAAATGATTCTCCCCTCCTCCCCAATTCAGCGTGGCATGCACAGAAAGAGAACTATTTTCAGTTGTGCTCAGTACTTGTGCTACCCTCCTAAAAAAGATTTCTATTTCTATATATGTGCCATTTTGTGCATCATTGCCTGATTGTACGTGGAGCATGTTCTCTCTGAATGCCTAGCCCTAAATGGTCCATTTCTTAAGCACAGCTGTTTGCAAATACCATCTTTCTCCCTCTTTCATCTCCAGCTGGTTTGGAGTAGGAGTTCGCAGAGGGTGGCTGGGAGAGGAGGAGGATTATGAAATGGAGGGGAAGAGAGAGAGAATTCAAGCCACGCAGGAGTCAGGAGAAACATGTTCTCTTCCCATGCAAATATCTTAATTACAGAGGATGAGGAAGATATTTATATGTTAATTTTCATAGCGAGGTTTTCAATTTGCCTTTTGCACCAGGGGAAACCTTCAAGTCTATCCACTGAAAAAGCCACTGCCGTAAGCAACACATTAAAAAAAAAAACAAGCCAAGCCATAATTTACCAAGCTCCCATTAAACTCTCATAAGTTCTCCACCTCCTCTTCCCTTGCTGATCACCAAGGTGTTTGTGGCTAAGAGACAGCTTGCCACCTGTGACGATGTGGGACCGTTCTTAATGTTTCCGCTGAATAGTGTGGGGGGTGCCTCAGTTTCCCCTATGCAGTTCTTAAGTATCTAGGGGGTGGGGTAAGGGTGTATGATCATTGCAGAGCCCTAGAGGGCAGGTGTGTGCAGGGGTCTGGACACAGAGAATGGCCGACACCCTGTTTCCTGGCCACTGGTGGCCTGGGCCCTTCCCCCCTGCAAGGTGAGAGCTAAAGGGTAGGAGAACAAAGGAATCAGGTGACCTCCTGGCCTGGGAAAGGAACAAAGCCCAGGGGAGGAGGGGCTGGAGGGAGTTTCAGTTTGGGGCTGGCTGGGACATGGAGTGAAGGGCAGATGTGGTTGTCTGGCTCACTGCCCCCCAAAATGGACCCAGCTGAGGGGTCCCGTTCTCTGCACCTACAAGCTCTGTTTTAGACCATGTCCCTGTCGTCTAATAAACCTCTGTTTTACTGGCTGGCTGAGAGTCACGTCTGGCTGCGAAGTTGGGGTGCAGGACCCTCTAGCTTCCCCAGGGCCCCACCTGGGCGGACTCGCTGTGGGAAGCACACGGAGGGGCAGAGGAGGCGGAATGCTCCGAGGTCAGACCCAGGAAGGGGGAAGCCGGGGGAGCTGTGTGTCCTGCAGACAGGCTGCTCACAGGAAGGAGACTGCCCCAGAGTCCTGACTGGCTTCATGGGGAGCAGTTCCAGAGCATCGCCCAGGGACTCCGTGACACCACCCTTCTCCTCTGCTGCCCCTTCCTGCTTGTGACCTCACAGGTGCTGCGATGGAGATGAATGGTGAGGTCACAACATTGCGGGTAGGGAGCAAGCAGGAGGAGTCAGCTGATCAGCTGGGGAGCTGTGAAGAGTATAGGCCCAGCACTGGTAGAGAGGAGGGACTTGCTGCATCTAATTCTTAACTCATCTCCCTGAATGTGGCAAAGGCTTTTCTAAAATATCACGTGAATTATTTTTCATTTTCTCTGTAGTTTCTGGTGCCATCTGGGACAATAAGTGGAAGTGTCCAAAAAAAATCGGGAAACACATTTCTCATCCTTCTCGTCTGTCTGGCTTCATATGTAATATCCTAGGGTCAGCTTTGTACTCTCCCCTTTGCATGGCTCTGGTGGCACGAAGGGACCAGACACCGGTGAGAACTCCCTCTCTGCCACATCTGGCTCCTGAAGTATTCTCTGTGCATCCCTTGGCATATGGGAGGTGGGGAATGGTGTGGCTAGAGCACACTGCTCCGGCAATCTCCATCTGACGGATATCCACTGGGAGCCACAGCTGGCCAGCATAGATTAGAGCAGGCTCTCGGCTTCTTTAATCTATGGTGGGGCTGGAGAAGAACTGACTCTACAAGCAGGGAGCCATCAACAGCTTCCTTTGCCCCTGCATCTGTTTGCTTCACCCAGCAGAAATTGGTTACAGCAGAGAATCCAGCCCTTAGGGTCTAGGCATAACTGGAATTTAAGTAGAGGGAAGCAGAAGAACCCTGAAATCTCACCAGAAAGTCTGCTGCCTCATGATTTGCAATGCAGTTGTGCAGGTTCAAGAAGCACAGACTATTTGGATAATCACCTGGATTTCTTTGTGTTGAATAAAATGGAACCTCTACGTTACTGGTTTTGGTTTGCCCCTCACTCATATGGGTTCAGCATTTGATTGATTACCCACAGCTCATTGGAATTTCTCCAGACCATACTGGTGTAGAGATGAGGCTGGAAATCTCATGAGAACAGGGTCTCTTGGGAGACTTCCTGTAT